ACCTGCCTTCTCCAGAACATCCCAGCTTATAATTACTGAAACTAGCTTAAAATCCAGGATCTCAGCCGGGCGGTGGTGGCGCACGCCTTTAATCCCAGCACTCGGGAGGCAGAGCCAGGCGGATCTCTGTGAGTTCGAGGCCAGCCTGGGCTACCAAGTGAATTCCAGGAAAGGCGCAAAGCTACACAGAGAAACCCTGTCTCGAAAAACAAAAAAAAAAAAAAAAAAAAAAAAAAAAAAAACAAAACAAAAAAAAAACAAACAAAAAAAAATCCAGCATCTCTAAGAGGTATAGATCTCCATGATCAGTTAGGTCTTGATGAGGTTCTACAAGGTCTAATACCTTGTAAAATGATCAGCACACAGAGCTTTCTACCTCTCCCCATACAAAAGACCCAGTGTAAAGGAGTCAGAAAGGAACAGAGTAACTGTTCTAAAAACTATGATCCTGAAAACAGAAGGAGGCAGGGAAGACTCAGTGGAAATAACAGCTATGAAATCCAGCCAAGTGGAGGTGAAAGTGATAAACTAAGTTCTGATTTGTGCATCTGGCAACTCTGATTTTCTTTTCTGGGAGTCATGCCAACTCCCCTGGAAGGTTCCTCTGCATCCTCCTGGTGAATAGATGTGTTCATGTGCATATCTGAAGGGAATATAGTAGCATTTGCCCTTTTTGGAGGTTTTTCAATTTGTATAGTATCCTTCCTGCTGGTGAATGGTCAAGAGGGGCAAGGGATGTTCTGGGAATCATCAGTGTTGAAGAACCCAATGGAAAAGTGTGAGGATGTCTTAAAGCAACATTAATTATCTCTTGCTGAAATATAGAAAACTTTTCCTCTCAATAAAACCTACATTTCCAAACCCTTCATCAATTTAAATTCTAGAACTAACACACACCAGCTAGAGACGTCTTTCAGCAAAGTGTTCTTCACCCTCATTCCTTCATTTTTTTCCTCAAACAATATTAAACACATTCATTCTTCTTTTTTTTTCATTCATTCTTCTTAACAAACTGTGAGATAAGCAACAGTGTAGAGCAAAGTTTCTTCTCATGGTAAATCTGAAGCTGAGGTGCTGCCCATGGTATAATCTGTGACTCCCCAGGCTTTGCATAGTCAATGCTGTGTCATCACTAAGAACGTTCAGGAACACAAATCCAAGAAAAAGAGATTGTTCTTAAGTTTGAAATGACCTTGGTTTCCACATTACATCTTCACACATCTTGGGTTTCTTCAATTTGCCACAAAAGTACATATAGATGGAAGGGTGTCTGGTTATATTCATTGCTTACAGAACTTTTTGTTAAAGAAAGGCCCTTCTTATGGAAATAATACTGAGTAAACATAGACATGGGCCCTACAAAGTCCATTATGACAGTGAGCCATCATTTTCCTATGGTACTCCATTATGTCCCTTATAATCTGAAAGTGACAGTTCCTTCTTGGTGTGATTATGTCTTTCATGAGAGACAATAATTATATTTTCTTTGTCATAGTCTTTCTCATGACTGCTCCTTCTTGTTCTCCTTTGTCTTCATTAATCCAAATCTTGATGACAATTCAATGATATAATACAGTAATGGCACCAGATAGTGTTCATCAATACTGTCTTGATACAGTATACTCCAGGAAACAGAAGCAGATATTTACTCAACAAAAAGCTGCTACTACCAATGTCAGAATCTTTCCCTATAAGTGTTGATCATTAAATAATTTTCTTATGTTTGCCACATTGTGAGTCTCAGAAAGTTAATCAATGACTGTCAGGAATTTGCTGAATCTGCATAAGGACCCTGAATTGGTTTGTATTGTTTATTTTTTAATGTTTATTTTTATTTTTAGCATATGTAGGTGTGGGGAGGGGTATGTATAGATGAATGCAGGTGTCCACAGAATCCAGAAGAGAATGTCAGATCACCTGGAGCTCTAGTTAGAAGTGGTTATCAACCACCTGACTTAGATGCTGAGAGCCTAACTCATGTCCTTCTGCAAGGCCACACTGGCTCTGACCTGTGGAGTCGTTGTTCCAGCCCAGGGTCGCATCATTTCTATTAAGATATATATGTGAAAGAAGATACAAATGTCCAGCTACCAATCAATGCCATTAACCGTCTATGATGCAAAGATGAATCTATCATTCAGCATTTTTAATAGTTTTTTTTATGAATTTTGAATTTTGTGTGAATATTGAAAGCAGTAAAGGCAGGACTAAGCACTCTTTTTTTCAGCATCTTTCACTAAAATTAAAATTGGGTCACTATAAATTGTATCCTGGGAAAACAAATGTAACCAAATTCCTTTCTGTTTCTTGTTTTATTTCTAAAGCAAAGACTTAATTTTTTCTTCCTGTGTCACTGCTTTTAATGAAATCTTAAATGCTTGATCTATTAATACCTAGAGGAAACTCTTGAAGAATAAGAGCAATATTCACAAAACACATCATTTTAGCCCCTTCTGTATTTTCTTTCAACCTATACCCATATTCAGATCTTATCTGGTTTGCTATTTGGTATGAAATCACTTTCTTGTCACAATGCATGGAGCTCATTGATAAAATGCTTATTTAATAGGTTCAATCTCTAATGTTGTCAATAAAAGGAATTCGTAATACTAAGATATTTAATTAATTAATATTCAAATGGATGATAATGGATTATAGCTAGTTTAAGCCAGGAAATTTTTAAGACAAAAATATGATGTTATTATAAGTGTGTATAGAGCCTACAAGTAACAGTAATAATGTAAGAATTATCAAAATGGTAACTTTTCTACTTTGGGCATATTATTAAAATGTCCAAATTGAATGCAGCCACTCATTGACATGCTGTTTACCCTCATATAGATAATCAACCCTTGTATGCCATAAATCTTGAGAAGCTGTCATATGGCACACACTGCTACAGAAAATCAGTCTGGGACAGTAGTAGAGAGTCAGTAAGGGAAGACAAAATACTCAAACCTGGAAGCCTAAGCACAAGTAGGAAACAGCTGCTGAGTAAATGAACAGATGCGCATTTGAGTTTACATGATAATATGCCATGATTGGCAAGTGCCAAAAGGAACCAGCAGGGGACACACCCCGAGTGCTAGTCAGAAGAAGGATCGGGAGAACTTCTTGTGAGTGACATAAGTTAAAGAGGGGAAGAATGGGGACAGCTGAGCACTGAGGAAAAGCATTTTTCAGCTAATAGGTCAGCAAATAGAAAGACACTGGGACAATAACATGTCTTCCGTGATCAGAGAACATTCTGTAGCATTGGTGTGCCTTGAATTGAGTCAGGAAGGGGGAAATTGGCAGAGTGGGGCCTGAAATAACAGATTTTTATAAAAGTTTCCTTTTTTTTTGTAAAGGACATTGGGAAGACATCTAAAGGCTTTGAGTAGAGAACTCAGACGGTTTTTTAACATATCTAACAATGACTGCTATGTAGAAAATAGATAGACAAAAAATAGGGCAAAAAAAAAGCAGTAAGCAGGATGTTGAATCATTTGAGAGAGAAATGGAGAACTCTTTCACTACAGCTGCAGCTGGGAAAATGCTGGGACATGTTCAGGTTCTATACTTATTTGCAAGTAGAAATTAAAGAACTTGCTGTTGGGATTAAATGTTACACATGAGGTAAAAGAGAGAAGCCCACATATTGTTATTTGAGTGACACTAAAATGTTTCCGATGATAATGATAGAAGAGTGTAAAAGGAAGAAGTATGAGGTGGGAAGAAAATCATTTTCATTTTTGAATTTGGAAAAGTTCACTTTGACAAGCAAATAGAAATGTACACTAGGCTATCACATACTTGAGAGGAGAAGGGAGGTGCCAATGGTAGAGATATCATTGAGAAGCCATAAGAAGAGAGTGGATGTTTAACCACAGACACAGATGAGGTTGGTTTTGGAGTTAGGACAGAAAGAGAAAATTTCTAATAAATGAGAGTAGGTGGTTGGGCCATGGGAAGTTTACTAATAGAGAATAATGAAGAAATGAATTAGAAATATCTCAAAGCAAGAGGAGTATTTAAAGGAGCATAAAATGGCCAATGGTGTCACATGACATTAGAGGAAAATTACGATGAATTCTTATTATATTTGAACATGTCAGAATCTGTCCAAGAATTCTTTCAGTGGATCCACAGATATAGCAGCCTGATGTCATCAAAAGAAAGCAAGGGATTGTGGGTGGAAAGAATGAGTACAGCCTTCCCTTCAGGAAGTGTTGCTGTGGAAGCTCACATAGAGGGGGGGCTAGTCACTGCGAAGGACGGATGCTAATTGGAATGAGGTTTGTAAGAGGGAAGCAGTGATGCTGTAGGACCAAGTAAGAAACAACTGTGAGTGTGTGTGTGTGTGTGGGGGGGGGGGGGAACTCTGTGATCCTTTGAAAAGAAACAGAACACAAGTGCCGCTTTCGTAGCTGTTCAATGTGGAAACAAATAGCTTAAATGTTTAACAAGTCTATAGACTAGAAAAGATGTATATTTTTAATGTTGCCAGTAGTAAAGGACACATATCAGATCACCAATTTGTATGGCATTTTATTTTCTTCAAAATAGACTCCATATCCTTCTTCTTATCAACTTTTGAAGTCTTAGACTTGTGTTTGAGGGGAAATTTAATTTATTAAATAGGAAGATGGAGGTGAAGACCAAATAAAACAGCACCAAAATATATAATAGATAGGTAGATGATAGATAGATGATTGATCGATAGATGATGATGATGCAGATAGATAGATAGATAGATAGATAGATAGATAGATAGATAGATAGATAGATAGATATGATAAATAGACAGACAGGTAGATAGGTGATAGATATGATCAGAGCACTTCTAGTTAATAGCCTTTATTTTTCTCACTGAGTATTTTTTTTTTAGGATGGTGTTTCATGGCTGGAGGTTACCAGGATATTACCTTAGTACACGTTTGACTTTGAATTTCTTGTGAAGTTCTAGTTTTGATTCTTCTGCTTACAGAATCATTGATTTCTGTCTAAATCTGTTGCAGTGTGCCTGAATACTATGACTATGGTCACGGAGTAAATGAGGATGCCTACGACAGCTACGGTAAGACCTTTTCCTTACTATGGTTATGAGATCAGAACTACCATCTGTCACTGACAACTCAGAAATTACTTCTATATCCACCTCCCAGCCCCATTTTCACAGAAGTACTGGCTACATTGATTTATGTAATTTCACAGTAAGATTTGACTTACAGAACCAGTGCAGAAAATTGGACAGATCAATTTTGATCAAAATTTCAAGAGAAATTAATCACAATCATAGATCATTTCTGCAGCATTGGTGAGCAGTCAGTAGTGCTGCCATGTTTCAGCATGCCCATTACTCAAGTCTTTGATGTAACCTCAACATTGTGTCTTTCCTTTTGTCACAAAGATATCAGTAAAATCTACATTTAAAATAGTTTTAGACTTATAAGTGCAGACACTTTTTTATTATATAATAATCTTCAAATTATTTCTCTATCATATGTATCTCTTAAATCCCAAATAACATTTGTCTTGTGAGCATTAGTATTTGATAAAAATATTAGTCCATAAAGTTGATTTCAAAGTGCATTAATGAATCAAGAAAGTCACTATAAATTAACCATAATTCTATTTAAACATTTGCTGAATGCCTGTGATCTATTTACACAATACAACTTTTGATGGGTCTGGTTCTATAAAACGTTCAGTTAGCAGGTTTGCCTTGAAAATGACATTTAGACATTTACATTCTTGGATTTTCATTAAATTTATACCAAGGCCCCCTCTTCCTCTGATGGAGAATAAAAAAGAAAATGAAGTAATCTGGGTGTTTGGAGCTCCATGTCATGAAAGTGTAGTGCTATGTCAGTGTGGAGGAAGAAAGAACCAATGTTGTGGGACGGGGGAGAAGAAGGTGCAGAAGACCAGATCAGGGAAGGAAAGTGCAGATGGTCATGTGGGGAGGACATCACAGTTGGTCAGGTGGGGAGCACAGCACAGATGGTCAGGTGGGAGGACAGCACAGATGGTCAGGTGGGGAGCACAGGACAGATGGTCAGGTGGGGAGGACAGCACAGATGGTCAGGTGGGAGGACAGCACAGATGGTCAGGTGGGAGGACAGCACAGATGGTCAGGTAGGAGGACAGCACAGATGGTCATGTGGGAGGACAGCACAGATGGTCATGTGGGAGGACAGCACAGATGGTCATGTGGGGAGCACAGCACAGATGGTCATGTGGGGAGGACAGCACAGATGGTCAGGTGGGGAGGACAGCACAGATGGTCAGGTGGGGAGGACAGCACAGATGGTCAGGTGGGAGGACAGCACAGATGGTCAGGTGGGGAGCACAGGACAGATGGTCAGGTGGGGAGGACAGCACAGATGGTCAGGTGGGGAGGACAGCACAGATGGTCAGGTGGGGAGGACAGTACAGATGGTCAGGTGGGGAAGATATCACAGATGGTCATGTAAGGAGGACATCACAGATGGTCATGTGGGGAGCACAGCACAGATGGTCATGTGGGGAGCACAGCACAGATGGTCATGTGGGGAGGACAGCACAGATGGTCATGTGAGGAGGACAACACAGATGGTCAGGTGGGGGCAGAAACACTTCCTCCAGCAAGGCCACATCCATTCCAGCAAGGCTACACCTCCTAATAGTGCTACTCCCTGTGGAGGCTATTTTCTTTCAAACTACCACAGAGAGGCAAGGTCAATGGTTTATCTGCCTTGGCCTCTGTGGCAGTTTGAATGAGAATGTCTCCCATAGGTTCATATGCTTGAGTACTTGTTCCCTAATTAATGGAACTCTTTGGGAAGGGTTAGGAGGTAGGGCCTTGTTGGAGAAAGTGTGTCACTGGGGACAGGTTTTGAGGTTTCATAAGACTCATGCTAGTCCCAGTGTGATCTCTGTCTTCTATTTGCTCATCAATATGGAGTTCTCAGCTGTTCCTGCCTCCATGCCTTTGTTTCTCTATCATGGATTCTAACCCTCTGAAATCATAAACCCACATTAAACACTTTCTTGTAAGTTGCCTCTGCCATGGTTTCTTATCACAGCAATAGAGAAGTAACTATGACAACCTCCAAGATCCATCTCCCAGGTCTGTCCCCAAAAATGTCAGTGATGACCTTGCCAAGGCAATTGGTGTTTAGAAAGGTCTGAGACTGATAGTCAAACTGACCATTTAGAACAGACCCAGGCTAAGTATGTACCTTCTGCCTTCATCCTGGTCAGCAAACCTTCATGGAGCCACCAAGAAGCAGAAAGCAGCAGAAAAACATTAAAAACCATGGGAATACCACTTTGATGAGATTGTCAACATTGTCTGACAGATGTGGGACTGGTCTTACCCAGAGAACTCTCCAGAACTATTAAGGAGATCCTGGGTAGTGCACAATATGGACACAGCAATGTGGATGGCTGCCACCCTCATGATATCATCAATGACATCAGCGGTAGTGCTGTCAAAGCTCAGCTAGTGTAAGAGCAGCATGAGAGTATTTCAACAAATGATCATCTGATGAAGAAAAGATACAAACTTAGCTTTTTATAAATTTATTCTTCTTTTTGCACATAGGCGTTGCTAAGTGCTAGCTTTATGATGGTGTACAAAGTAGATATTATTTTTCTATGGCTCCTGTTGTTTCCTGTTCAGTAATAGATGGCTGTATACATATTACACCAGATTATAATCTTTATGAGTTTAGAACCCAGAATTCAGATACCAAGTGTTCTGAATTGGTATAGATCTGTACAAAGTTGGAGAACATTATTCATTTAAAAATGCTTATTAAGTGGCTATGAAATGTAAGTGTTGCTCTCAGTGGTGGGAATACTACATATGAAAATCTCCTGGAGCTTCTTTTCTAATGAGGAGATATATTATTATTCATGAAACATCTTGAGATTTTCATTGTAGTCGTTATTTTTCACATTTGGTATGTCAGTGTGGGGAAAATAGCTGCCATCTTTCCTTAAGGAATCATATGCAGTGGAATCAGTGCTGCATTTGGTGATGTGCAGCAGGATGGTTTGTGAAGGGATGAAAAAATTCAGTCCCAAGAGAAAAAAACTTCAGTCAGGGAATGAACCAACAAAATGAATAGACAATTCTCAGAAGAAAAAAATAGAAATAGCAACAAACACAAGAAAAATGTGATCAACGTATTTAGCCATCAGAAAGATGAAAATTGAAAATACTTTAAAATTCCCTCCCACCCCTGTCAGAAGGGATAACCTCAAGGAAAAAAAACTGACAACAAATGCTAGTGAGGATGTGGGGTAAGAAGATCCCTTATTAGGTGCTGGTGGTAACATAAACTCCTTTAGCCACTATTAAAATGGTAAAGAGGATTCTCAGAAAACTGCAAATAGAATAGCTCAGTTTATATCACCCTGGACTATATATCCAGAGGGCTCTAAGTCCTATCATAGAAACACTTGGACATCAATGTTATTGCTACCAGACTCACTACAGCTAAGAACATCAACAGAAAAAGGAGAACATGGCAAATATACACAGTAAAATATTGAGCTGGATAGGAAAATGAAATCATAACATTTGCAGGAAATAGGTGGAACTGGAGATCTTTATATGAAGTGAAATAAGCTAAACTCAGAAAGACAAACAACACATATTTCTGTGTGTGTGTGTGTGTGTGTGTGTGTGTGTGTGTACATGTGGTAACTGAATATTTACTGATTTACTCCATAATTTTAAGAATGCAACATTTTGTTGCATTGCCCAGGTTAGTTTCAAACTATGGATTCAAGTGCTTCTCTGCAGTTAAACTCCCAAGTATCTGGGACTCCAAGTCCGGGCCTCTATTTTATACAGTTTATTTTGTGTATCATGAGATGAAAAGAGTTTTTGTCTCTCTGGGGTTCATGTTTCATTGTTGAAGTAAGAAATATAAATTATATATTTGTAGGTAACATTAAATATTAAATGCTTTCCTTGCAACACTATAATACTAAATTTAAATATAACTAAATATTTAAATGTATTGATTATAAAGATCATTTAATATTTAGTATGTTATCAGATCCATTTTTATTAAACTAATATTTATTACATTTTTAGAATGTATTTATTTTTAGAGAATTAATATTTGATTGGTAAGAATTTAAAATCAGTTTCTGCACATCTAAAATATTTTCTAATTAAATCAGAATTACTAAAATTATTTTGGATATGTCTGAATAGCTCATAATTCAATGGGGAAGTATTTTAATTACAGGCCAAGCACCAGCTTACCCAAGCAAGACTTCACATGAGAAACACCCTCTTCATTCTCTCTGAGATTGACAGCTATGAATGGACAGCAATATTATCTTCTCAGAGTAAAGAGCTGTTTATTAAAATGTATTTAATGTATGAACTAGAGAGCTAATTATGCATCCATTCGTTAGTGGCATTTTAAGTGACAGCTGTGTGGAACCAAGGAGGATAATATTAATACACTATCTTGAAATGAATGGAAGCAAAAAGAAATTGGGGGCTGTATTTCAATCCAGGGCACTTCAAGTAGATTGCAGAACACGAACATCCTCATTTTTCGTTGAGGAGCTAGATGATTATTATCCCAGTGTGAAAATAAGCCTGCATTGATTAATCTGTGAAAACAGCTAAAGAAAATGAAGCCAACTGGCATTCATGCCAGCCCTGGGATTGAAGAACAAAAGCCTGCTATATTTAACAGTAAATAGAGACTCACATTTGAGAAATTGATTTTACAAAAGATGAGTTTTCTAAAATTGCCATGAATATAAAAGTCATTGGAAATAAAATAAATGCAAACAGTTTGTTTGTCCTAGAATTTAATATTGAAATTTTTTTTTGTATTCCTGAGAATAATAGCACACAGTGCAGGAGGCTTTCTCTGGGCTGCCAACCAGCTCCCAAATCATGACACAGAGACTTATTATTAGTTATGAATGCCCTTTCTTAGCTTATGCTTGTCCCACCAGCTCTTATAATTTAATTTAACCTGTTTCTCTTCATCTACCTTTTACCTCAGGGCTTTTTACCTTTCTGGCATTCTGTATGTCCTGCTTTTCCTGTTT